AAATGCTGAGTTTTAGAGGCTCTAAATGATGAACAGTAATTAAGTTCAGTTATTAAAAAAAAAAAAATCTTTGAAGTTTCACGTTGTTTCTAGCTTTCATAAACTGGGATCTTGCTTTGCTTTGTTAGAGAATGTGTACAACTTGCTACTGGATACCTCTTCTATGGGCTTACCGACATTGGGCAAGTCACCTCTCCATCTGCTCTTTGACGAGCTGAGTAAATGCTGATTCTAAATTTTCATGTTACAAGCTTTGATATGAAGCTTCCAGAGTTTTTGTCTTCTGGAAAATTTCTCTCTCTCTCAACTAAACTCTGTCTGCTGTTTGCACTTTTTTTTTTGAATGTGGAAAACAAATCTTGTCACAGCAATCTAATAACAGTCTTGCCAATACAGTCTAGATTGCAGGATAACTTAATTCTGTGTATTGCTCCCCACTGCAATAGTGCTTCTGCCAAAGCATAGTACAGAAAGATCACATTGAAATGACTATCTGTGACAACCTCTAAATCCTTCTCAAAGGCAATGCTTGCCAAGATAGCTTCCTATCCTGTACATACTGCCTGCATTATTTGTCCCCACATTAATGAGCTTTAAGCTCATTAAGCCAGCTTGCATCTGGCTGTATTAAAACACTTTTTTTTTTTTGACAAATGGTTTAACAAGCTGTTGTGATTACTATCCCCACTGATTTTTTTTGTCTTGTCCGCAAACTGTGCTAGTGAAGATACATCACTGTCTAAAGATCATTGATGTGAACAAATAGAACTGAAGCTGATTCCTGCTAGAAATGGGTCTGTCTTCTGATGTCTTTGTATCAACAGTTACAGGTGAGATTGGTCAGAAAGCCTATCTTAATCTGTCCAGGCTCTTCATGTTACATATATTTGTCAAGAAAGATGTCTTGTGGTGGGAAGTTAAATGCACTGAAAAAATCTAGGCATAATATTATCACTTTATGTAAAAGTACCATAATACTCTAAACCAAAGCAAAGCCAGCAATCAGGCAGACAGTTTTTCATGTAACTATAATAAATTATTCTAGTGATGCTTTTCCTTCTAATGTTCTGTTAGAGTTGCATGGTATTTTATCTAGTATTGCTGCAAGGATGAGGTGTTCTGTCAAAAAGTCATCCCTTTTGAGATATTTTTGTCAGAATTGTTTTAAGTTTTCTTAAACTAAATGAAAAAGAGCTAGTACCAACAGCTCAGCACTAGGAGTTCATCATAGTGCTCATTGATTTAAGTAGTAGGTCTTCAGACTTACAGATACGTACATGACCCAGTGGTGGTTTACTTTGTTGATACAAAGTTTAACAGATTGTGATCATTTCAGTGACCCAAACTTAATTTTCAAGTATGCTATCGGCCACCATTCTGGCTTCTTTCCCATAGGGGATTACTGTGACTATCTGTAAGATGCATAAAGTAACAGTCTTTGCACATAAATTTTCAGTAAAATTTAAAATGTATGTTAATTAGATTGTGCACCCATTGCAGTAACGAGGCACACCCTTTGGCATCTTCGCCATGTTTTGAAGATTCCTTTCACTAATGCAGGACAGACTGACTTCAGTTTTCCTCTGAAGATTGCTAGATTTCTTCTGAAGTTGTCATTATACATACGATGCCTGGCAAACATATGGAAATGTAGGAACTGACTGCCTCATCTGGTCTACCACCCTGTTTTTGACACCGTCAACAGGAGACCTTTCAGAGGAAGTTTGGGGAAACCCTGGTGGATAATTATGGGAAGACTCATTCTGTTATTAAGACTTTGCTTATTTAGTAAGGTGCCATAAATTGTATTTAGCCTTGCACAAAAAAGAAATTAGCATTTAACTATTAATATTGTTCTGATTTAATTAACTGGTAAAGCAAAGCTATTCTCAGCAGCTTGCATTGTGTTAATAGAATCATAGAATAGTTTGGGTTGGAAGGGACCTTTGGACGTTTAAAGGTTACCTACTCCAACCCCCCTGTGCAGGACCAGGGACATCTTCAACTCGATCAGGTTGCTCAGAGCCCCGTCCAACCTGACCTGGAATGTTTCCAGGGATGGGGCATCTGCCACCTCTCTGGGTAACATGGGCCAGTGTCTCACCACCCTCATTGTGAAAAATTTCTTCCTTATATCTAGTTGAAATCTGCCCTCTTTTAGTTTAAGACAATTACCCCTTGTCCTATTGCAACAGGCCCTGCTAAAAAGTCTGTCCCCATCTTTCTTATAAGCCCCCTTTAAGTACTGAAAGGCTGCAATAAGGTCTCCCCAGAGCCTTCCCTTCTCCAGGCTGAACAATCCCAACTCTCTCAGCCTGTCTTCATAGGAGAGGCGTTCCATCCCTCTGATTATTTTTGTGGCCTTGTCTGGACCTGCTTCAACAGGTCCATGTCTTTCCTGTGCTGAGGGCTCCGGAGCTGGACACAGGACTCCAGGTGGGGTCTCACCAGAGTGGAGCAGAGGGGCAAAATCACCTCTCTCGACCTGCTGGGCACAGTAAAGATCCTTTCCATAATTGTTTGGTTTTTTTTCATGCACAACTCCTCCCTGGCATGTTGCTTTATCTGAGGGGATGTAATTTTCTGCTGAGTTTTCATGGGTGCTTGGCTTGCCAGGCTGGCTGCACAGCGCAAGCACTTGGGGCCATGAAGACTGTCAGGGCTAGCAGAGCAGGATGGTTTTGTCCTGACTACACTACCACTCCTTAGCACTTGCACTGCAAGGCAGTTCCGTGCTAGGACAATTAGTTTAAGTTTGAAGTATTCCTTAGTCTAAGGTCTAAGCTAGATGTCTTTTGATGGTTGGGAGTCATCGAGCACTACACTTCTGTTGTGTTACTCAATAATATTTGGAAAAATACCCAACAGGAAAGAAAAGTAAGAAATGTACCCAGTCCTGTTGCTGTGATTCCAGGAAAATTAAACCTAATTTAATTTCAGTAATCTTTCTGGAGAGTCATCTTTTCCCCTCAGACGTGTAACAGGAGCACTAATGATGTTGAAATGCTGCTAATGAACATTTCCCCTAATCTGTATCACCTTAACTAGGCAAGGATCAAGTGTTGTTCCTACCAATAAAATATGAAACAACAGGATAGAGTCTGATTATTCCCAGCCATGATTCCCACATAGCCAGCTGAACACTGTATTGTCATCTCCTTAGGATGGTCCATCATTAAGCATATACCTTGCATGATGAAGTTCCTGCCAAATTCTTGTGTGACAGTTGGCAATAATATGGTCTGTCAGGCATACCTGGGAATCTGTAGGAAGACTTTGGGGAAAAAAAAATCAGAAAAAGGATGATAAGTAACACAGATTTTTAAATTGGATGATTTTTTGAGGGTCTGACAGATCTTTTGAGGCTGGCAATATTGTACCTGTAATAATGATGTAGTACAATGGTAGCATAGTTATCAATTGACTGTTTTTGCACCCTAGAAAATTGGGCTGAGTTTCCTAGAGGGTCAAGTTTTTAACCCTGGAGGGACAAAACATAAATGTGTTCCTGGAGTATCAAGACCTGAAAAGAATGGAAAGAAACAGAAGAACAAGCTGTCGATGGTCTGACAACTTTTCAGTCAAATAATTTTGCTCAGAAGTTACTCCAAAGTCTTCCAAGAGATGAGCGCTTTTTTCTAATCCCTAGGTACAATTTATAGTATATAAGAAACATGCAGGTTACCATCAGGGGAGGCTGCAAGCTTACAGTCCTGCTTTAAGCTGGAACTTTACATTGGAACTTTCAACTGAGTCCAGAACAAAGCATTTATAGATTCTTTCATGAGTGCCAGGTGTTTACCAACTTTAACACGTGCATTACAAGTGGGAATTATAGACTAAGACACTGATACTGCTTAGAATGGCACATTTTTTTTTCTTTAGTGTTACTCAGTGGGGTAGAGTTGGACCCCATCTTCCTCTAGATGCCATTTGGGGGCATGTAAGAGCTATGTACATAGAGCATTGCAAGGAGCCGAGCAGGGGTTTCGGCAGCGTGCCTGTGACGTACCGGCACCATCAGCTACCTATAGCTAAAGTATTTCTGCATTTCTCAGTACTGCATTCTCTTGCTTCTCAATTACTTGGAAAAATGCGCTTCTTTTAATATGCATTTCCTTCTACATGTAGTCTTAATTATTCTGCACATGTTCAACCAGGAATAATGTCGTGTTTCCATGAAAGCGCTGCACAAATTCTGCATTTTAAAATGCACAGCTGGTGATCTTCCTTCTGACACTGTGAAATGCACATTCACAAGGAAACGAGAGTCTGAGCCTACTAACATTACAATGACATCATGACAACTCCTTAGGTAAGGTGTTTAATCACATTGAATAAATCTTCAGATGATACTAATACTAAAAGGAGAATGAAAGGACTAACTTTCCTTTATAAATGCAAGTATTTAAATCACAAGCTAGCTGCTTATGGTCAAAAGCAAGATGCTAAAGTGCAGTGACACAATATAGGCAATATGTTCTTAAATAGGCAGTAAATAAAGTCACAGAGATATCCCATCTGGTTATTAACCATGTGACACTGCTAGGAGCAACTCCTTAATTCACTAACATCTGATGGACCAGGTGTTTCAGCTGGAAGAATTCTTTCCACTGCTCTGCACCTCGGAGCAGAAGGGTGTGATGTACCATGAGGATTGTACCTTCCGCGCCTTGATGTGCAACATTTTCCCCAGCACCCTTTTTTCTGGGGGGTGGAGGGGTGAAAAATCATAGAAAATAAGAAATATTTAGGAAATAAAGCATGCTTATTAAAACCAAGATACTGTTAGTCTAGAAGTACTGTATTTTGGTTATGGAGTCATTAAAATTCTTTCATAATCTTAAGTGTGAGGCATATTTCCATTTAAAAAAGCTGATAAACGTTCAGGAAAAAATGGATCGTATTGTGTAAGATTTTGTAGCCAGTTTCCTGAACACTGAGTATTAAAGAACTGTGTGCTAGATTCTGACTTTCTCTTTTTTGCAGATGGTCCTGTGTCAGTTGGAATGAGTCTGGATATTGCAAGCATTGATACAATATCAGAAATAAATATGGTATTATAGCATTTGCAATCTTTTTTGTTTTGTTTGTTGATAAGCTGATGTCTTGTGTTTACAGCTGCCGGCAATGTGACTTTGAGGCTTTTCTCCTTGTGTGGTCAATGTGTGTTAGGAGATGGAGTTTTATTTTTCAGTATATGTAGTGGTTATAGCGCTATAATAAGTATAGAAACGCAAATTTGCAGATGCAAATCACACTTCTTGGAGATACAAACAGAAGTTTGCTACATCTTAATGAAAGGCATGTAGAGCAGTATTTATTTTCCAGATGAAATGTCTAAATCTTTATGCATTTCAGAAAATTAAAGATATATTCACATGACTTTGAAGCCACTCCCTTTCCTTGTGATTAGACACAGCTGAATTCATTTTGTTTTTGTCTTTTACTGTTACTGTCACACATTAATTTATTCCAGCTGTGTTTCATTGCATTTGTATAATTTATTTTTGACAAACTGTGAAATGGAGTATAATTTTCTGATTAAAGATCCTCCATTGGTACATAGAAATAAAAGGCAAAATTCATTAATCAGATATGCAATATCTGAAAATGTGGTTTTTAATATATATATATGTGTAAAAGTGTGTGTGTGTGTGTATATGTGTATATAAATGTACCTCACCATTTCACTACTCAAGCTTCCAGAGAAGTTGAATATTAGTATCCTTCTGTACCCAGTAAGTATTCACAGGTATTCAAAATGGAGGAAGTAAGGTCAGAACTTAAGATGAACATATCATGATGATAAAAACACGCCATAAATTTGAAAGTTGATTAAAAAGGTGCTAAGAAATAGTGTGATTATAACGTAAGACTACAAGGCGTATTTGAGTTGAAGGTGAATTGGGCCGAGAGCTGTAGTCAAGGTCTCAATAAATTTGGCACCACCGTTTACCTTGTGATGCTGAAAGGATAAATCGTGCTAAAAGATGATGATTCGCTTCCTATTTCACTAATTTATTTTGTCATTTTTTCTGCCTGAATTTATACAACTTTTCCCAAAGTTTTCTTAAAAATGCATTCTTTAGTAGTTTACGGGAACAAAATGATGTTTGCAACCACTTCAATGTATCATTCTAAAATTTAAAGATTTACAGAGCCAGATTATCTGCCTAACAAAGCTCTGATGACTTCAGCTGATTTATAGCCCCAGACTTAGGTCATCAGCTTTTACTGTAAAATTCCAAGGACTGTAAGCACAAAATCTGCTCAAGATAATATTTCTTAATGATGTCAACCTCACATCGAGTGCTGGAAAACTCGGCAGTACAAGAACCAGTACAACTGCTACCAGAGTGCCAGCATTTAAGAATGGGACACGGAGAGTCACAGGCTACCGGCACCCAACAGCTGTTTCCATACACTGTTGTAAAACAGAATATAATACAGGCTTGCTCTGTGTGATGACTTTGCTTTTCCTCTTTCAGGACTACACAGCTACCATATTTCTAAGGCAGCGATGGACTGATGAGAGGCTCTGTTTTGATGGTAATAAGAGTTTAAGCTTAGATGGTCGCCTTGTGGAAATGCTTTGGGTGCCAGATACCTTCATAGTTGATTCAAAAAAGTCTTTTCTTCATGATATCACTGTTGAGAATCGTCTCATAAGAATATACCCTAATGGAACAGTCTTGTATGCTCTGCGGTATGTATATACCAATTACGAGCCTTTATATTTGGCTTCTACTTACATTTTAAACTTTCCAGGTTAGCATAATTTTATGCTTAAGAAACTGGTGTATTTGCAGAAGTCGAATACACACAGTCTTGTAGTTTTACGAATATGCAGTATTATTGACCAATATGATTAAATTCTTAAATTTAATGATAAGTCTCACTTTCTTCCCTAAGTAGATCCTTTTGCTAATACAGGAATTGCATTTTGCCATTCCAGTTGTTTTGCAATGAAGTCATCACAGAGGAAAGCAAGCTGTAATGATCGATTTGCATTATTTATTGCAGATTATCCTTTATAACAGATGTTGATAAATACAAGAAAATCGTAAAATGTATTGCAAAATATCAGCAAAGGAAAATGCATGCTGTAAGTGAGAAGGGAGCAAGGGTTGGCCATTTTAGACTGCCACTAAACGCAGCTAGTCTGGAGTGATTTGCTGTTTCGGATGCTATTACTCTTATACACTAGATACCAGTAAATACTAATTTTTTTTTTTCCTCACAATAGATATTTACCTGTAGATATTAGTTCAAGAAGTACACACGGCTTATTTTTGTTTTCCCTGATGAACAATTTTATCCCATTAATAATTAGCAATACTATTTTTTCCCCCCAAGGATCACCACAACTGTTGCGTGCAGCATGGATCTGACCAAGTATCCGATGGATAAGCAGACGTGTACTTTGCAACTGGAAAGCTGTAAGACACTTAATCCTTACTATTTTTATACAATTAGAAAAATATATGTGATCTTTTCCAAGGACTACTGGATATTGTTATCAAAGAGGCTGGAATTTTCAAAGCAGCCAAGGGACAGTATGTGACCGGTCCTTGCTGTCTGTAAGTATCTGTACAGAAAGATAAATGCATGAGGCTTCACTGAAAATAGCATGTAAGTACTGAAATACTACCATGCTACTAATGATTAAACAAAATCTCAGGAAATTATCATAGGCTTGGTTTTGCAGTGCATCCTGCAGTTATTCTGTTGGTCTTCAGGGGGAGTTCTGTGAGCAGACATTTTCCAAAGTGTCCGAGAATTTTTTTTCTTTTTTTCTTTTTTTCAGATAGTATGTACCTGCCCCGCACCCCTCCCTCCCCCCGGCACAATTCCTCTAGGAAAGAAAGAAATTAGAATAAGGCTTATTTATAAGGCACAGAGTTAATATTTACTTAATTTACTGTTTTCATACTGAAAACAGGTAGTTGCAAAGGTAATCTCTCTGTTTCGAGATTACCCAAATGTGCATATTTATAGTTAACTTTTTGCTATTATTTATATGATAAGACTCTATCACGATACTTTTGCATGGGATAACGTAAAAGGATACCAGATCCTGTAAGATCAAGTTCAGAATCTTTTGGAAGGTTTTTCAGTACTTGGCAAGTTTTGTTCTTTGCCATTTCAGAAGTATGTGGGTGTTCTTTATTTCTTGTTGGTAAAGACCAATTAGAAGATTGCTGCAAAGTTTCATCTTAAACAGAAACACAAAGGAAATGAACACAAAAAACTTCCTCACGTAGGAGTCCCTCTAGAATCGGCAGTTTTATAAGATATGTTTAACAAATAGTGATTGAATTAGAATTTGGATTTATCTCTGAATTATTTTTGTTGGGAAGAGCATATTAGTAAATCAATGTGTATGGATTTCCTTCAACAGCATTGCTTAAGAGTAATTTAGTATTTTCTCTAGTTCCAGAATGAAATATATGTCCCACCGGAACTTAAAATTAATTTGACAGGATTAAAAAAAGGAGAATTCCCTATATAATTAAAAATAAGCATTTTTCAGAATTATTCCATCTGCTTTTTCAACAACACACACGTGTCTCCTGTCCAAGGGGAAAACATAGTAATGTCTTCACAAATGCTCCCATGACATTGGTGTTTAGCTTTGAGGAAAAAAGCTAGAAGC